TAGCTGATCTTTAAGGTCTCTTCCAACCCAACCATTCAATAAAACTTGGCCTTGCATCTGGCTCCAAACCCTGCTCCAGCCCAGCGAGCTCGGCTCTGGCCACACCGTGGCAGCATTCATTCGCACTGTACACCACGCTAGATGCTATGCTGGGACCATCAAAACTGAGACCTGGATCTCAAATCCTCCCGATGCTTAGAGGCCTTTTGCTCCTAGATTTTGGGCTGGAGCTGCTTCAGGCATTCAGGGAGTCAGAGTTGCAGAGGATGGTCACAGCACGCGGGAGAGGTGGCCAGCCAAGTGGCACGAAAGGGCAGGAGGTCCAGGCTGAGGGTGGGGATAACTGCACAGCCTGGGGCCAGGGGAGCCAGCGTGGCTTGTACCATGGGCTGGGAGAGCAGCAAACCTCCTGCAGCTCTTTTTGCTCTGACTTTGGCTTAGGGCAGCTAACCTTAGCCCTCTGAAAACAAGCTCACCATTGCTAGCTCCTGGACAAACCCTCTGCTGTCGCCCCTTTTTTGTGTTTTGCTCCATAGAAGCATCAGTGCACAGTTCAGCAGAGCAGGGGTGGGAGGAAAAGATCAGCACCTACCAGGTCAAAATGTCAACCCCCCACCCCTGCCTCCAGCAAGGGCTGCAACCATGCCCTGCTGTCCTCGTCCTGGCAGTGACAGAGGACAAACCTTCAGAGTGAGGAAGGGAGGAGAAGGAGGAAGGACTCACAAGGTCATACATGCTTTACCTTGCAGACAGCTTTTCTCTGTTAAAGGGGCTGATACCTTTCTGTGATCGTGTTAACAGATTGCTTTTGGGGCCAGATTTTTGCAGCAGCGGTGAGGTGTGAGCGTGTCAGAGCCCAGAATCACGCAGCATCTTTGCAGCAGATCTCACCTCCCTTCTCACATGAGATGTCCCGGCAGAGACAGCTCGTGCCACTGGCAGGTGGTGCAGAGCCTACAGAGGGGACTGGCTTGCCACTGAGATACCACGTGTACTTCTCTTGGCAGGCAGGTCGCTCCATGCTGGCACTTTCTGCTCCCAAAGGTGTGGAAGTGGCTGGGGTCTGCTGTCCCAGAACTGCTCGTGAGACTGTGCTAAGGGGGAGCTGACGCTCTCTGGGCTTTCAAGAGTCCTCGGTCGGCACATCCTCACCAAGGACCAGGAGCGTCCACAACCCTCCAAATGCTGCCTTCCAAAGAGGCTTTGTTACCAGGAGGTGCCACTTGCAGCTGGGGTTGGAGCCACTTCTCTCCCATCCTTATGGCTTTCCAGTCTCGCGTGGGAGAGGGTTCACACGTTCACAGCGTGCAAAGCTCTGGGATGCAGCTGATCCCTCAATCTCTCCCGCCAGCGTCACGGCTGCAGATCACCTATCTCCTGTAAAGCCTTCCGGAGGACAGCCTGGCCAAGCAGCAGTC